CATATTCGTATAAAGATTTATGAACAAGTTCAGTAGGATAATAGCCCATATTGCCCAAGCATTCATCAGAGACTCTAGCACATTGGGCACCAGAAACAGTCAAAAACATGGTAATAGTAGGAGAAATTTCCGATAAAGGGATCTGAGACCTTGAAGGTTGACTGACAAAAGGAGGATGATTAAAATGTATATGCCTCGAAGGAGGAGATCGATAATAAGGAGGGGAAGGAGCAAAAGAAGAAAAAGAAAGTTGATGATTTTGAGAAGGTGGTGGATCGAATTGACGTTGATTTCTAGAAGGAATAGGATTTGTGGTTGTAGGAGGAAGAAATTGGGTATTGGACACCCAAGTTTTTGCATCACCCGTAGCATGTGTATTATACGGGTGAGGTTTCTTATCCTTCAATTTTGGACGCCCTCGTTTCTTGTGTTTAATGTCGATACAAGTATCAACTTTATTAAGAGCTACGCATCGTTTACAAGGTCTCGATACTACAAGTCACATTAATTATTATTAATAAATCGAGTCGTGATAAATAGTAAATAGTTATAAAATAATAATAAATGAGAATAATCTTTCTTCTCCAAAGAATTTTTTTTTTTTTTTTTTTTTTTTTTTTATTTCGGAAATTAACATCTCGAACTTTAAAATTCTCCGATAAAGAAAATACCCCGATCCAAAATTCAAATAACATAAAGTTTTATGCATAATTGAATCGGGGATGGAAAGTGGAATCAGGAGAATCAGAGAATTAGAAAATCAGAGATCAGGAGAGAAGAAAAGATTAAAGCTCCGACTAGAATGACTAGAGAAAACTAGATTGACTTGATAGACTAGATTGACTAGATAGACTTGATTTATAGATCAAGATAAATTTTAATTCAACTTACCGTCACAAGCAAGGTGAGCACGTTTACAGTTGACACAGGCACTAGGAACATGGGTCTTATTAGTTCGCTTCATAACAGCACTTCCGTTATCGTCGCTGCCTAAACTTGTATTTGTTAGTCTCATTGTATTACTAGTACTAGATTGTTTCGAGGAATCGGAATCAGTGACGGTTCTAATTCTTGAAGAAGGAGAAGAAAAAGGGGTAGAGTCTCTGATGAATGCTTGGGCAATATGGGCTATTATCCTACTGAACTTGTTCATAAATCTTTATACGAATATG